CCAGGCGGTCACTTCATTGCATTTGTGGGGGCTTCTATCGTTGTCTACCTGCGGATACCGAAGGGAAGGACCTTGTCACCGACATATCGATAGCTATCGCTGTATTTTTACTCAATTGATTAACGCAGTTAAAAGCTCAGGTAAGTTGCAAGAATTTTAATAAGGTGATCGGCAAAGTTCATTTCTCAATTGTTGCCTTTTACTTTCGTTTGCTTGTACTTAGTATGAGGAAGACCACTCCATTCCTGTCTTGTCTCATCTGGTCTGGCCTGTTCTTGTCCGGTCTTGTATTGCATTGTGTTGTTTTGTCTTGTGTTGTCTTTCCTTGTATAGCGTAATGTTGCCTTGTCTTGTTTTGTCTTATCTTGTGTTGTCTAGTCTGGTTTTGTTTGATCTTGTCTGGTCTTGTCTTGCCTTGTGTTGTTTTATTTTGTCTTGTCTTTCCTTGTCTTGTCTTGTCTTGTTTTGTCTTACCTTGCATGGCTTGGTCTGATCTTGTCTTGTCTGGTCTTGTCTTGCATAGTCTTCTCTTGTCTGATACGGTGTATTTTCAGTCTCACAAAGACAGTCCGTTCGTCGGCGTAAATCAAGGGGGGCGATTAGCTCTGTACAGATCAAACTCCGTTTTAGAAAGGACAACGCTTTGTTAAACCTACTTTTTAGTCCTAAGCGGCTTGGTATTTTTTTAGACTTGCCGTTGACTGCAAATACACAGATGGTTAGTAATTAATCCCTTCATCCAAAGTAAATCGTAAAATGTTTCGTCACTACATCAGAGTTCTGTTTATCAGCCAAGAGTGTTTTGTGTTCCCAAGTAAAAACTATTTTTATGGAATGAAGAATTTCTTTAAAGAAAATTGTGTGGGCAGTGATACCAGTTGCCATTAGTGTTGAAATAAAATTTAAGTAGTTACATCGACCTTTTTACATTGGTTATATATATAAAAAAAAACTCCGTCAAATTTCGATATAGATACATATGTAGTGTTTAGAGTGCTTAGAGTTTAGTAGTAGTATGCAGCTACTACTCATGCACACATATATGTATATTTTAAGCACTTAAGAAATACAACTTTCCTTTATTACTTTCTTATAATCCCTTAAAAAGCTTGTGGGACTCTACCTTCTTGGAACTTAATTATCTTTTAAACATAACTACATTCATGCCTAGCAAACTTCAAGCAACAATGACATACATAAATAAGTACATACACCTACGTTATCTAATATTCCACAAATGTTAGACGTCAACCGAGCTCATTACATTTTCCAGTGCACCCACTATCTAATGATTTTAAACTACTTCATAAGAAAATTTCACAAAGCCCTGCTGCATAATCCACTCACACAAATACATACATATCAACTTACGTAACTTACCTTAATCATAATTATATAATTTTCGAAGCTAAAGGCTTCACACACGCGTATGCTGTATGTAATTACTTATGAATGTGGTTATGTAATGCTTGGCTGTGTCGTAAGCGTACTTTATCCACATGCGTACCTTTGACTGATGTCGAAGAACAAAAGTTACTTGCGGCGACGCGGCAACTAGCAATTAGAAAAGCGACGTATAGTGGAGGTTTTCAGCAAACAACTTCAAAGTACTATATACGTGCATAGAAAGGAGACATATGTGCAGGAACGCAAGAGGCTGGGATGCAGCAAAACTACTTGCAGGTAGAACGCAGTGCTACAGTAACTTACTGCTATGGTTTTATATATGGACATACACGACGCTTCAATGGAATAGGCAAATTTCTTTTCGCAAGGCACCAAGCTTCTACATTTTCTTGCAGGTATCAGTCAAAATTTTCTTCAGCCTCATTTTAAGTTTCAATTACGAATGAAAAAAATTAAAATTTTAATATGGAAAATATTACTCATACGCCATGTACGAGTGTGTACGACTATGGCCATGCCCGATGTGGCGTATGAGCAACATTATTTATTTCCTGTTTCTAGTATTTCATACAGAAAATTATTACACATTTTCCTCGTGATGTGGTCAGAGTAAAGAATTTTTAATTATTTTACGCAGCGAAGAACCTTGAGTTCAGTACCCCAAAAAATCGGTATTCAAATAGTTCTGATGATGCTCCTTTTGCTGTGAACTGAGTTATCTCCGTTTTCATATGAGCCTATATTCGATTTAGGATATCTACAAGTGCTCCTCCATCAATGATTGTTGAAAAATCGTCTTTGTGAAATTTCACGAAGAGGGCGAACTCTGTGGTGTTGTCGTTCGCACAGAAGCAGTAACACTTTCAGGGACAGCAACAGTAATACTTTATTGAAGCATCGAGGGAACACATTCCACTGCTTAGTACAGGCTGGATACTAAGTTGTCAAAGTGCCTTAATAACACCGTCAAAGTTATGACTGTACTTAAATATCCATAAAGACCACTTAGGCCCAATTTCTGACTGCCTATTTAGGTAAATAGAGATCGTTGAATAACTTCAAAAATGCATTTTCAGATCATACATCTAATCTGCACTTAAATTACCAATATTGGCTATTCAAATATTAGATATACAGCCCTGTG